GTTTCTATAAAAAGCAGGAGAAAATGAAGTCGCCTGGTGTTCTTCTAGGTGGGTTACTCCCATGGATTCTCCCAAGCTTTCATCAGGGCCCAGTTCCTCCTGGGGCTTAATACCCCCCAGCCTTGCTTGGGCAAAGTTTCAGAGAGTGCTATGGGATCTGGTTTTCTGCCGGTGGGAGAAAGCCCAGAATAGCTGAAAAGCTTATGTTAGACCCTCACATGGGAGGTTACACACTTACGTCTTTAGAGGGGAGAGTGTGTGCTTTCTTCTTCCCAGCTGCCCCTTTTTTAACATCTGTTCCCCTTTCAGAGTGTCAGCTTTCCCCTTTTGAAACATTTTGCACCAGAGTCCATTTGTCTCTCTTTCCTGTCCCAGCCCTGGGCCCAGTTTTCAAATCAAATCTCCATGATGGCCTACCCTCCAGCAGGCTACAGCCCAGCCCAGCTGCAGGGTCCCCACATGCTCTACTGGGAATGACAGGCGGACTGTAACCAGTGCTGTCTCCATCTATTCACAGAGAGCTCTAGATTCCTGAGAAGGGCTTCAGCGCTAACAATACAGCAGGCATCATTTTAAATGGGTGACGCACAGCTTTTATACGCTTTCCCCTCCACTGGGGAAAGAAAACATGGCATTGCACAATATTGTTTTAATTGCACAGCGAAGAAAAAAAAAACAGCTGAATGTTTAGACCTGAAACAGGAGCTTCAGGTTCAATGTAAAAATAAAACCCTTTTCATTTGGCCTCTGTAGCACAAATTTCAACATGTTGGGTACAGCAAGGTGGAAAGGCCTACACTGCCTTGGACTAGTGGGTTTGGTAGGCACTGTACCAACACCCCTATTTCTCCTCTGCAAGCTGTAGAGCTACAGTGGCACATAGCAAAGTAAAGCACTCCCTCTTGTGGCATTTCAGTGAAATTACAAGTGTTCTTTAGCCTAGCAAGAATTTCAGCGCAGGTCACCCCTTAAAACTTCAGCTTTAATAGATAGACTGATGCATATTTAAATGACTTGGATCTCAGTTAGATTTCTTGGAAGCAGAATATTTGACCTAGTCTTACAATTTATTCTGATGAAAGTCATGGGACCGTAGCCTACACAGGTTTCCAATGCACAGCTGCAGGATGGAAGAATAAACTTTGAATAGCCCATCAACCTTAACTAGAATGTCTTTAGGCAGAAACCACAGCATCCTGTAACAATGAGGGAAGACTCCATGAATAGCACACAGCCACCTGATTGAGGTCAATACTGAACAGCATACACCTTTTCCTTTTCTGCACGCGAGTTCTTCAAAAAGATGACAAGGCAACACTTTGAAGAGAAGCAGCATAGCTCAAGAGCTCTTCCACTGTGGCAGAGAGAGACCTGCAAGCAGGAGTGGACCTCTGGATCAACAAGTGCAGGTTGAGCCTGCAGAGGCAGCTGGTACACAAACATGCAGCAGAAAGGAGAGGTAGGACTCGAGATCTTAAAGGCTTTATTAAAAACATTCAGCCAGTGCCTTTACACAGGAAGGCACATTAATTAGAATGTGCTTGTAATGCATTACATAGGTGTAGCTTCTCTAATTTTGCTTTACAGCTCTGCCTTTTTAAAATTTGTTCAATTCTCACACATCACAATTTGAAGGTAGAGTCTAGGAACAGGGGGCTTTGAGTTAGGATTTACAACATGAAGGTTCTCCTCCCTCAATCACAACTGAGGCCACAAACAGAACAAGCAAGCTCCCGAGTCATCAAAATACATTTTATTGCAGTGGAATGGTCCCGAGAGAGAGTGTGTTGGGCCCCATCTTGACTAGTGGGGGCCAGGCCAGCTCTGCCCCTACAGCTGGAGAGGTCCACATCCCCCGTCACCTGCAAGACACCAAACCATCCATTAATGCCTCTTTCAACCACCCATGCAGTCACACAGCCAACTGAAGTTCACGTACTAAATTCTAGATCTGGAAGAACCAACCAGTTTGTTGGGACAGCTGCTGAAGTGCAGGAAATTGTAAAACTGTGCAATGATTGTTCAGACCACAGAAGAAGTCAGTGCTACTATAAAACCGAGTCAGCATACACGTTCAAGAACTCCATTTACAGGACAACTCTAGGTAAGAAAATAACGAGGCCATCTCTTGGTCGTTACCTGGATGAGATTCTTGGATCAATTACCATTTCTTTGGTAGGAGACGATACTGAGCTTTTAGGTCAGGTGCAAGGATCAACACCCAAATTTAGATTCAGGATATCCAGTTAAAATCCCAATCCTGGACCCAACACCTCAGCTCTTAACGAACACAGACTTAATGGGTTTTAATAGGAATGGAGAACTGATCATAATCAGTTAAAGAGCAACTGAAGAAATAACCTCCTAGGAGGTTATCTCCAAACCTTCACGTAGAAAGACTTGGAAAGGATCTAAACAAGCTACAGGTTAGTTCACCTGAGGATTAATTTTGGTTTGAATGAGAACTAGAAGGTGTGAGGTGAGGTGGGGTCCCCCACCCCCAATGCTTGAACACCGACTTCCTTACCTCTCTCTCTCCAGTCACCAGGCCTGCCGAGGTACCACGAGACCTCCCCCCCAACACCACGTTTCATGGGGAGGGTTGAAATGCCTGAAACAAAGACCAGCCATCCTTTTAGAATCACTGCGCAACCCAACCTCAATACTTATGCTACACAAGCTCCAGGATCAACGGATAAAAACCAGCTGCCTTCGAAAAGCTTCCCGTTTGTCACAGTGCTTCAGAACATGAGGTGAAATCAAGGACTGCTGGGCAGTATGTTCATTGGAAGTGTCAGAAATAAGAAATAATTCATCACGAACACTGTGCAGAGACCGGAAAGGGCGAGCAGCCGTTCAGTCAGATCGAGGGGAGATTATTTAAAAGTCGGACGGAAGGATAAACTCACCATTTTCAAATCTCTCGACGTCTGCTCTTCACCCAAGCCCGTCTCAAGGCACGCACGCGTCGTCTGGGGTGATCTGTTGAGCCAAGAAACGGAACATTAACCATCCTTCCTCCCCCAACTCTGAAAGATCTTTCCTGCTCAGGTCATCACAGAGGTCCTGGTTAGCCATCATGTCCCGAGTAGGGCATCATGGAAACATTTCACAAACCTGACCTGCAGTGACAACAGTGCTTCAGAACATGGAGTGAAATCAGAGGCCACAGGGTGGCCTGCTCATTGGAAGTGTCAGAAATGGAAAAATCATTCATCATGAACACTGTGCAGAGACGGGGAGCCCTTGAACCGACAGTTCCACCTAGATTTCGATTAGGGGCCAATTTGAATTCTGCAATTTGAATCAAAAACCAGCCCATTTTCGCGCAGGTGACTCACCATTTCAAGTCACTCGATTGCCTGCGGATACACCCCCGCCACTCCACTCGGATCCGTCCCCACAACCTCTCGGGACATGCTGTTGCGACGTCGCCATCTTGAATTTCTCCACGGCGATCGGCAGCACGTCACCACGTGTCACTAAAACAAAAAGTAAAATATACAGCCGGTTTCTTAAACAATCTCAGCGCAACCTCCCATGCAATCGCTTTCACATGAAACAAATACAGAGGCACAGCCTAGGCGAACAGGGGTGAAGCTTTTCAGTCGCTGAGAAGCTTCTACCGATAAAGGACACGCTTCTCACTTCACAAGCGAGTATATTACACGTGCATCCTACGTGCAGACGATCAGTCGAGTCCACAGTGTTTCAGAACATTTAGTGAAATCAAGGACTGTTCATCGGAAGTGTCAGAAATAAGAATAGATTCATCATTAACACTGAAGGAGACTCAGACTATTCTCATAAGAGAAGGACGCTAGTCTTGTAAAAATCCCGCATGAAACCCAACTCCAAGCGGGCCCGATGTAGGCCCGTAGCCGCATCTTGGGGTGCGCAGATGCGTCCATTTAAGTCTGCAAACTGGGCAGACCTTTGTACGTGGAGCTATGCGTTTCCTACACAAAGCCAAGCTGGGCCCACATGGCCTAGCCTAGGTCAATCCAGCACGCCTACGCTGAAAAACAGCAGCGCCCACTACATGCAATACTTCGGCAAGCACTCGTAATGGACAGCTGGACTTCCCCGAGACAAGCCAGATTTAATAAAACTAATGCACGGAAATGCTGAGCTTTTACTAACACTAGCAACAACTAAAACAAACCACCACTCACCTCCACCGAGCAAAAAGAGAGGCTCAATAGCGCCGCGAAATGAATTTATGGGGTGAAGGTCTGGCTCCGGCCTGAATTCACACTTCTTATTGGATAGTCAATGCAAAAATAGCCGTTTCTTATGCGAAGGAACCAATCGCCTCTGAATTCTAAAGCAACACTCCTTTTCCGCTGGAAGAAGGAGAAGCTTCCTATTGGCTATTTAAAATGTATTTGGTCACGAATCAAATGTGAGTTTTAGCGTGAGAGGGAAACTGACTTGAAGAACGTCCAATGGTAGATAAAAGTAGTACAATAGACTGATGGAGCTATAGCCAATGAGCATTCAGCTGTGGGCGGAGCGTGGATGGGAGGGCGGTGTCGAAAAGAATTGTGGGGTCTGTAGTGCTCACTTGATCGGGGATTGATTTGGAATCGAAGGCCCCAGCTGAATAAATGAACTACAAGCCCCACAATGCCCGGTAAACAGTTCACTTCCTCAAAAATCTGGCTGCTGTCAGGGAAGAAGATGTGGACTATAAGAGCAGGCTGAGTGCTTTTGCATCATTGGTAAGAGGTTTGAGTTCGTTATACACAGGTTTTCCATCGCGTAGTTCGACCAAAACTGTTTTGCTAGCCCTTAGGTTCGGGTGTTTGCGGCTGACACCATCGTAACACGGAATCTCTCTCTCCTAATTCTAGACCAGAAATAGCCCTAACGAGTCACAGCTTATTGAGAGTACGACAGCGATCCATGTGCCGAGAGACGAGAACAAATGTCTAATTAAAATCTGGATACAACTGCAAGACTGCTATGAATTTTTGACTCTCCTAGACATCTGTTTCCGTTTCTTTAAAAGCAATCGTAACACAGCTGGCTAACGCCATACGTGTCTTGGCGACACAACGATTAGCTTGCGAACCAATGGGCTGATGTGGAGAGCGTCCGTAAAAAAACATTTGATGAAGTGTTCCTGGCAAGGTAGGAGAGTTTCCACCGAGCCTGCCGCCGGCTCAGCAGGGGCTTCATTTGTTTAGTGTGCGATCCGTCGCGCTGGCTGATTCGGTGAATTCATAAGCGAAAAGCGCCAGTACACGTCGTCACCGAGGGAAGGAGATGCACCACGCATCGGGCGCTGTGTCTGGGAAGATCTCGCTGAGAGCCAGCGAGCCGTCTGGTGTCACAAAGTGTCGACGCGCATTCCCGTCTGAGGTGCGATCAGCTGTGTTCGTGCGAGACTGGACGGGCTCGGGGTCTGTGATGCTTTCTGAGGTGTCCTCTTGTTTCTTTGTGCTCTGTATCTTTCGGTTTAGTGATGAAAGGTTTGAGACGGCGACGTTCCCCGAAGGGGGGGGGGGCATGTGGGGAGCTGAGATCCCCGTGATATTTGTGGGGTCTCCTTCCGCTTGCACTGGAAGAGTGGGGCTCGGTCGATTTCAACAGTGAAACGAAGCTCACATTTCAGACTGTCGGTGGCAGCAGATCCATACTATAAACTCTCTGTTCGTGTTCATAGACCCGTTAATAGAAGTATCTTAAGGGATAAATCCTTCCATTTATATAGCGCCTTTCTAGACACTCCCCTCAAAGCGCTTGACAGGTCATGGGGACTCCCCTCCAGTGTGCAGCCCCAGCTGGATGATGCGACGGCAGCCATAGTGCACCAATACGCTCCCCACAGACCAGCTCTCAGTGGGGAGGAGAACGGAGTGATGAAGCCCAACATGTATGCACCCGTGTTTCAGATTGTTGTGTACAGGCTGTTCAAATGACACAGGCGTCATATCCGATTCATTGCTCCAGCTCTCAGTGTCACGTTAGTAACGCATTCTCCCTTAAAACTAGTACGTCGAGTTTGATTGAAGAGATGAAGTCTTCACTTTGCTGGCTACGCGAATGAATTAAGTATCGCATTGGGGGCACGTGGTGGTACTATCGTTTCTGTTGTTGTCCTTGTACCCACCTGTTCTGGAAATCGTGAAACGTCGAAGTCTCTGCAGTTCCTGGAGTGCGAGTCTGGAAAAAGCCACAGACGTCTGAATCTGACCCGAAGTGGTACGGGCGAGGAGCACGCTGTATCAGATATACAGTGACACGCTGAATGAAAAATGTTAAATTTGCAGCGACTGTACTCGTTATACAGAGAAAGTGCGAAATCGTTATAGAGAACGGACGCAGATGTAATGTAATAATTGTTGACCTTTGAAACCATTCGCATTAATGAGCTCTCAGCTATGGTTATGAATGTAATCATTTACTTAGCAGGCGGTGTACCAACACATGCAATTGTGTTCATATCAAAGTGAGTTGCTGCTGTTGCACTCGGAACAAGTAAAGAACACAATGCTTTTGTGTGGCGCAAGTAGAGGCCGTTTAATTTGTAGCCTCGTGTCGATTTTTGGAAGGAAAAACAGATTGATGTCAGTCAGTAAGACGGCTACGGTCACTTAAACGTGTTTGTGAACTCGTCTCGGAAATTATACAGCTCCGGATTTTTTTTTTAGCATTCGGATATGGACTATGATACGGCGTAGGCGGCTCTATTCATTACTGTTGTGAAATCTAAAAAAAAAAGTGCTGGTAAGGGACACTGACGTCACTTTGGAATAGTACAGTAGTAAGCGGAGAGTGGGCAGCCTGTGTTCCGATTGGCCGAGGCGCCGCCTCATTAGCATACAGGCAGTCCCGTCGCGTGCCTTTCTGTTTACATCACCGTGCAGAGCAGCACTGGCAGACGGGTCTCAGCGTGCTTTGAGGACTGTAATCGGATTAATTGAACAACTTTTGTTTCATTCATTACCGTTATGGTACAGAAATGTGCACTAGACTTCAACGCAAGGCTGTAGGTTTACAGTCTTTGTGAGTGAATTAGAGGTAACTGTCTCCCAACAGGTAAACAGCCGGACCGCAGCGTTGTCTTCTGACGTTGTGCATTTAGCTGTGTGATCGGGGTTTTATTCGGGCATTTCATCGCTCGCAAACAGTAACTTTCTGGAATTTTTGTTTAGCGCATTTAATCAACTAAAACGTTTTCAATTATTTTTCCCTCTAAGGTTTCGTTTGGTATGAGTCACATTTTCCAAAATCAGGTTGGCTGACTTTGAGTTGCCTTTTTTTTTTTGCAGGGGGAGGTGGTCCCGGACCTTCTCTCACTTCTCTCTTTTTAATCGAGCCATCGATTTCATTCAGCCCGGTTTTGTTTTTAACGCAGTTACGGAATTCAGTAGTGCGCAGTTTTTCTTGAGCTCCGAGCTCTCCTTGTTATTAGCGGTAGCTAGCGCTGACAGGGTTATCTTGAAGTGATTTTGTTTTGCTCCCTCTAGAAGTAATATTCTTAAACAGACCCGATTGTATCTCCAGATTTCAATTTGTAGTCGATAACCCTTTACCGCGGGATTACAAATGGATTATGTCATCTCTCCTAATCGATTTCTGCAAGATTCATCATAAACACTGGATTGACTTAACATTGTGCTATGATCGCATCCTTGTCGCCAATAATTATTGCCGTAAATAATATTTTGATGTATGTAGCCGCCGATGTGTATCCAAGGCAACTTGAGTTCAGTATATTAGTCTTTTAAACTAGTTAGTAACTGTCAGAAGTCGTTTAAGGCTTTATAGAGCAGGATGGTTTAGAATTTCTTTTCCTACTTTGGAACATGGTCTTAGTTGTTTGGAACATATGTTGTGACCATCATTGATGACTATTTTCCTTCTTCGCTGTTCAAAAGTATGGCGTCTAATTTTCGGAAGTGTTTACCTGCGAGGCATTTTCCCAGGAACTTGATGGTAATGTTTCTGCAGCGCAGGATACTGAAACCTCAAATTCCAGTGCCACATTTTACTGTTAATTCTTCATCTTACATTTGTACACAGCATGTGGAAAGTAGGACATTTCATAGTCCCTTGAGTCTGAGGTGAAGACCATGTCAGTTTGAGGTCAATAATGAGGGATAGCTTTCTTCATAGCTACTAGCCCACACAGCCTCCAGCTCTAGTTGTTGGAAGACGTGATTTTGAGGAAAAATTGAGTAAAGTAAAAGGAGAGATTCTTTTAGAGGTTGTCCACCTTCTAGGGAGATGGGGGCTACCTGTGTACTTGTGATAATTAAGTTGCAGATACAGTGCTTTCTGTCTCATATCAGCACGGGCAGCCCTCTTGTGTGATGCACAGTATCGCAGGTACAGTGTGGGATCAGGCCATTGTCAGCAACCGGATAGCTGTTTTTCCAACCAGGAATAGAAATTAGTAACAGAAGGAAAATGGCAAGGGACTCCTTGAGTGAATTACTGTGAAACAGACGGTGGTTTGCAACCTGTTATTTGGGGATCTGTAGTGTATAATCTCCACCATGGCTGGAGAGCATTAATTGTAGGTTGGATTTTGCTACTGCAAAGCCAGCTGACTCTCCACTCACCACTGACTGTTCAGCGAAGTTTCACAGGGCCATTTCTTTTGTGTCCTTCTGGTTTCAGAAATGGGAAAAAAAAATCCTGTAGTTCCAGCCCTGCCCCCCTAATCAGGCCTCCCACTGCTTAGGTCAACAGTAACTGGTGCTTTAGTTCTGGGTGGGTTCTGTTGTGCCCAGTGTGCCGTACAGGTGTCCTTTTTCTGTAGTCTCTGAGCCCTGCCCAACTTCTCCGTTTGTCTGTGTCTTTGCCCTTTTGTTCCTGCTCAGACTGTTGCAGCGCTGGTGGTTAGACGCGTGCTCATTTTTTTCGGTTTACTGTCACGGTTGAGACTGTGGGGGGGGTGAGGAACGCAGAACAAAAAGGATGGGTTCTGAAGTTTTCCATACTCAAGGAATGGTCTTTCGGGTAGGCTGCAACATAAGCTCAGTTTGCAAACAAAAACATGGCCCCCAAAGATATGTGAAGTTCCTGTTTTAGTAAAAAGAAGTAATTAACTATCATAACAGATGTTTTGGCACTCTTGCTGGAAAGAAAACAAAAATCTTGGCCACAGAGCAGAGTTTCCATTTAGCTGTCAGCCTGGGGTTACAGTGGTCTCTGGAGTTATGGAGTGCCAGAGTGCGGTAGCCAATGGGCAGCCGGCG